TATTGTAGTTTCATCTTTTCATTTCATTGTAATAAATTAAGATCATTTTTTATACAATATGCCCAAGTCTTTTTTGGTCTACCTCTACCTTTCTTAACATAAGTCGAATCTAAAACACCTACTCTTCTAATCGGATCATCAGATGGTAGACGTTTAATGTGACCAAACCATGTAAGACGACTCTCTCTCTCTTTATATATATATATATATATATATATATTTGAAAAGCCCAAGCGCTGATTTTATTGAAATAGAAATGATACATAAATGTTGTATCAGAAGAGCCCAAAAGAGACACCCTACCCATACAATACAAGTACAGTAATACCCCAACAAAAAGATACATATAGACTCAATAAAATGTAAAACAAATTTAAAACATGCGGAAAACAAGTAGCTAGAGACGAGCCAGTTTAGTCCTGTCGTTTCCTCTAGTTTTAGGAGCGGAGTCAGATAACAAACTTTGAAGAGTCGTGCCATTAACAAGAGTGACCAAAGTATCATCCATTAAGTTTCCAAGTTGGAGTGTGTGCCCAGTCTTCTTCCGCCGAGAAGTGTAAACCTGCTATTCTTCATCTGAAGACTAGCTCATGTGATTCTCGGTCTGATTTGATGTTAGAACCGCAGTAGGAGGAGAGACAGTCGTTGCCACCGCGATATGTTCCAGTGTATGTGAAGTGTGAATTGTTACCTCTTCACCTGATGCTTCCTGAATAGGAGCTGCGGGACTATCCTGATTTTCGATTCGAACATTGTCTGTTGTAGTATGGTCAGGAGAAATGATCCCAGGGGCAGACACCGACTTCTGTCTTGTAATGATTCCTTCATCAGGTTGGTCATCAGGTTTGTTGGGAGCGCGTTCAGACACATAGGGTGCACTAATAGTGTGTTTCTGTTTTTAACTATTGGTTCTCAACTGTGGGTGCAATATGCAATATTTCTCCTGCGGGGGTCCAAACATCTTGCAAAACATCTTGCAGTGTGCAGTGTTTGCAGTAGTAAGATTTTTGTTTCATAATGATTTTTTGTCAATAATCATTATGAGCAGATCCGAGCCAGACTTCTTTTACATCTGGTAGTGTAACATCTCGTTCAATCAAAATGAACTGTAGGTAAGTACCTGCAAAAGTTTTCCAAGGATAGTTCCAATTGCATTTAAGATAGGTAGGTCAAAGAAATGAAGCTTCAGTTCAGGTAATGAGAACCAAATATGTACAATTGAGGGTTCTTGACTGGGATCAAAATTAGGGGTCCATTTGAGCAATGTCATATGTTTTCCCTTAATTATGATGAATTTCTTTGAGAAAATCCTCCTGTAATCATCCTCTATGCTCAGCTGTATCATAACATGCCTTCCGTCAAAATGACCCACCTGCTAATCCCCAACTAGTTTGATCTCCCACCTGCTAATCCCCAACCAGTTTGAAATCTTCAAAAACCTTCCTGATGATCTCCATCTTAGGGCAACCTAATTGAAAGTTTCCAACTTGGGTAAATTTGTATTTTCCTGCATGAGTTGAAATTTCAGCGTTAGAGAAGAAAATTATTGGTTTGCCCGCCCTTTTCTCTACTTTTTTGATGAGATTGCAATCGCCATTTCTTGAAACAGAATCATGTTAAATTTGTGGGAATGCCGCACTATCTGCGAGGTGTAAATGGGAACTGCGTTTGTGAACCACTGTAGCATAGGAGGATTTGGCGGGATTATCATATATATATATAGGA